TGAGAAAAAAAAAGAAATAAAAATCCTAACAGCAAGGGGTGTACACTACTCTACGGTGGGGTTCTCACCATTGGGGCTGTATTAGATTGTACCCAAGTATGGGGCTATGGTCTGGACCAGAAGCGATTTGACTGGTCAATTTTTACTTGTATTTTGCAAGAGCCTCTGAAGGCACTTTCCTGACACCGTGTTCATGTCACTGCAACCCATCTGCATGTGGCTGACAGAATATACTTTAGAAAATGCTCTTCTGCTCTGGTCAGTATTAAAGTCCTTTAACAGCTCCTCATTGCCTTTGGTGTAAAGTTGAAATTCCTTAATGAGGCTTGAAAAGCCTTTCACAAGTCGATCCCTGTCTCAGTCCCATTGTCCTCCATTCACCAACAAGCCTGTAAGTCCCAGCTTCTCTGAACTGCTTGCAATGCCTTGAGCATTCTGTGGTCTCTCATGTCTCTGAAACCTGGTTGCCTGAAATTGTAAGATGCTTCCTCCTCCTTTTCAAAAAATCGATTTCCTGCTTATGTTTGATGTTTCAGTTCAAGCACCATTTCATATATTATTTATTCATCAAACATTATTGTCACTGGGGTTTTAAAGATGAGTAAAACATGGTCCCTGCTCTGGAGGAGCTTTCAGTCTATGAGAGATAGATATAAACAGTTAAATGAGCTATTTATAGACGCAGGTTACAGTAGGCACAGGTTACAGTAAAGAAGAGGAACAAATATTCTTTGATGTCTCCAGGCTGTCAAAGGCTCCAACTCAGTGTTCTCATGGTCACTAAGCCACTAAACCTGCCATACACACATATCATTTAAATCTTAATCATTGGCTTATTTTCTCCTGGAGTGAGAACTATTTCAATATTTTTAAGTCTCCAGCCCTTACTGCATTATTGGCCTGTGGTAGGTACCCCAAGAATGTTTTCTTTTTAAGTGAATAAATGTAGGAGTGATTCTACCCAAGAAGTGTTGGAACTCTGCACAATCCAGCCAATGGAAGTAGGGAGCTAGACCAAAAAGGTCATGAAGAATCAGATCCAGAATCTATGGCATAGTAGGCCAAACTTACCTATAAGCCCAAATCATGAAGGACAAAAATTCAAGAGTCTTGCAGAGGAAACCATTCTGCAGATAGGATAATGAAACAGATGCCAGAAAGCAGTAGAAACAAGAAACCCTAGGGGCAGGAAAGAAGGGGAAAGAGAGAGGTGCTTGTTCAGTCTCTGGTTTAGGAGGGCCAGTCCCATCTAATTTAGCTGAATTGCATTTCTGAGAGAGTTCTGTGTACCTAACAGGATGTTCGTTTCCCCTCTCTCACACCTTCTCCACTCTCTTATTTGTTTAATTTTTAGTGGGCTTAGTTAGGTTTTTGTTTTATGCAAGCCCAAGACGTTTGACTACATGTTATTAATGTACTGAGACTTTTAGAACAGCACAGGGGAAAATAATCAGCATGTAACTCATGAACTCATGAGAACACTTTTCCCTGCTGACTATATTTCAATCAGCTGTCACATGGTTATTATTTAAAAATATTTCTGGATAAATTTAACAATTGTAAAGAGTTAGTCTTGTTATCTGAAAATAAAAATGAAAAGGACTACTATAGCCCAGAGAAGGGATTAAATGAATCAATTATTTGCGTTATTTAACTAGTTGTCATTGTTGATATGTTTTGGTTTAAATGACCTAAAAGAGTATTCCAAAGTATCTCCCAGGAAACCTAAGCAGTCCTGAACCTACAGGAGTAGGAATATCCAGATTTCTGTAATTATCTAGCCATAGTAGGAAATGACAATATGACCCAAAAATAGTTGGAAGAGCTTTGAGTACAAGCTATACAAAGAAAGTGTTCTATTATAACAAAGTCAGAGGTATAAGGATATTAGTAAAATCAAGAAATTCCTGGTATTCTTGAAAAGGAGTAAGTTTTGACTGATTATTTTGGAATTTAGATGTAGAATAGAAGAACATAAATTCATCGATTATGCCAAACTTTTCTAATTATTCAAAGCTAAAAAAGTATTTGGAAGGATTCCAAAGACTTATAAATTTTTATAAGTATATATAAGAAAAAGAAATCTTTCTTGGTTTTAGGGAAACATAGACCTACATGCTATGCTTCACTGCAGAAACTTCTTGTGTTCTAGTACATCTATCTCATTCTGAATTGTGTTCTATTGTTCTTATGTAAATGATTTATTATAGATGTGTCATCTATTTTAAGCCACCCTTAAATCCTTTTGGGAAGGAATTAGAGGCTTAAATAATGAATAGAGGACATTTCCCACTCTTGCGGCTGCATTGGCAAACCTCTTGCCTCTCTCTCTCTCTCGCACATGCACGCGCTCAAATAAATAAATAAATAAAAGTAAAAAGGGGGGTGCGCATGGGTGGCTCAATCAGTTAAGCATCTGCCTTAGGCTCAGGTCATGATCCTGGGGTCTTGGGATTGAATCCCACATCAGGCTCCTTGCTCAGTGGGGAGCCTGCTTCTCCTTCTCCCTCTGCCTGCCGCTCCCCCTGCATGTGCGCTCTCTCTGTCTCTCAAATAAATAAATAAAATCTTAAAAACGAAAAACAAAAACCTCTTGGAATTTATATTTGATTGAATCAGAATTGAACTTCCTACCATACAAGGCAAACAGGAATGCCCTGTATATGTTCAGACACTAGGCTGGCCCCAGAAGGCAGCAGACTTTTGTTGCTCCTTCTAGGTCTAAGACCTGACTTGGAATTTCCAAATAATGCACAACCTAAAATTTTGGGCAACAAAAAAGACTGTGACTGATTTTATTATAGGTAGGATATTAATGATTACAAACATTTGTTTATAATATATGCTTTCCTGTTAGTAACTAATACCTTAAGGAAGTAGTTTATATATCCCTACTTACAGAGGAGGAAAGCCAAGGCCCAAAAAGAATCTTAGAGCTGGGTATTTATTTATTTCTTTATTAACTATTACTAAAGCAATACATGTTCATTATAAAAATTCAAATAATACAGAGTAGGGAAGGAGACTTTCTTCATATTCTGGAAGCCTCAGTCTTTGTGCTTAAGGCCTTCAACTGATTGGATGATTTCCAGCCACGTTCTGGAGGGTTATCTGCTTTTTTTAAAGTCAACTGATTTCAGTGTTAATCACATCTACGAAATATCTTCATAGCAACATTTAGACTGGTGCTAGACCAAAATACCGGGGCACCATAACTTGGCCAATGAAGAACATAAAGCTAGCCATCATACTGTAGATACAAATACCCAAAAGAAAGCATTAAGTGATGGAACCCAATTGTTTATTAACCAGAAAAAATGTATTATGATCAAATTAGGTTTCTGACAGGAAATGCCAGCATGGCTTCACATCTGAGCTGGGCTTTTAGATCTTATTCTTTGGATTTCAATTAGCCTATTGATGATCTACTCAATGCTTCCAAACTGATATACTTAAAATCAATTTCAAATTCTAACACTTTGGTTGAAATTCTTTTTGGAAATTATGGTATGCTACTGGGTGGGATCTGAAGAAAGATGGCAATGATGTGAGAGTTCTGGGAAGAGAGGGTGCCACTGACAAGCACCTCTTCCTTCTTTGGTCCTCCACACACCTTTGGTGACAGATGGTCTCAGTGAAGGTCTGCATTCTTAAACATCTATTGGTGTTGGCTTGAAGATTCTGTTTTCTGCAAAGCTTGTTGGATTTTTCTGGCCTGGTTTTAGAAAGAGATGTGCACTCCTTGTATGTCCCCCCCACCCCCCCGAAGATACTAATACATATAGTTCAACCAAAAATTACATCATTTAAAGTGGAAGGATAACACATTTTCATATTGAGCTCCCTTCTGTGATCCAAGTCATATTCTAATATGTCCATGCTGATTAACATATGAGTGCTCAAGTTAAGGAAATAAAAGAGGCTAAAAATATCCTAGGACCTTTGCAAAAATGACTCAAACTGTTAAAAAGGAGACAATTAGGCACCTGGGTGGCTCAGTCGTTGGGCGTCTGCCTTCGGCCCACGTCATGAACCCAGGGTCCTGGGATCGAGCCCCGCATCGGGCTCCCTGCTCTGCAGGAAGCCTGCTTCTCCCTCTCCCACTCCCCCTGCTTGTGTTCTCTCTCTTGCTGTGTATCTCTCTCTGTCAAATAAATAAACAAAATCTTAAAAAAAAACCAAAATAAATAAAATAAAAAGGAGACAATTAGACATTTTGAACATGGGTAGCTATTTGATATTATGGAGTGATTGTTAATTGTTTTAGTTGGTATAATGATTTTTTTGGCAAATTTTAAAACATAATTATATAGATAAATATAAATATATACAAAATATGCTGAAATATTTGTGGATGAAATAATATGTCTGAGATTTGCTTTGAAATAATACAGAAGGGGGAAGTAGATGGGGATATGGGTCAACTAAGATAAACTATGAGTTGCTGATTGTTGAAGCTGTGTCCTATGTATATGGGAGTTCATTATTAATTCTGTCTACTTTTGTTAGCATTTAAAACTTTGTGAAATAAAAAGCTGAAAAATAAAGTCAGAATTTTAAAATGCTCTACAGACAATTCATGATCTTCTCCCTGCTGTTAGATCAGGTCTTGGACCTAGTAAATATATGGTTGAATAGAGGGAAGACAAGACCAGGCACAGAGCTGGTTATTGCGGAGTGTTATTGTGCATATTTGCATTTTTTTTTTGTGTGTGTGTGTGTATCTATGTGTTTGGTTATATATTTATATAAGTCATTGATTAAGTGAAAATTTTGAAATACATATCAAAGCTTAATAGTGTCTATACTGTTTTTATTTTTATTTTTATTAAGATTTTATTTATTTATTTGAGAGAGAGCACAAACAAGGTGGGGGGGGGCAGAAGGAGAGGGAGAAACAGACTCCCCGCTGAGCAGGGAGCCCGACATCAGGCTCAACACAGGGCTCCATCCCAGGACCCTAAGATCATGACCCAAGCCGAAGGCAGATGCTTAACCAACTGAGCCACCCAGGTACCCCATATAAACTTTTTTTAGATTGATATATTGAATCATGCTTATCCCTCTTATTAGTTATGTGCAACTATATACTAGCAATTGAGATGTGGAAATATCTTTAGTTCTCATATTTATTAATTGTTCCGTCACCAAATTTGCAGACAAATATTAGTTTTGCTTAATCACTGAAAGAAATTTTAAAGATTGAATAATTTTCCTAACATTCACTGAGTTAGTGTAGGCAGAAAGACCCTGTTAGTGATATTTTTAGCTCTCAGTTACCAGTCTTCATGTTATCCTAACATTCCCATGAGTTTTAGTCAAAATTTTTGTTTTTTACTATAACAAAGTCAAATACTTTAAAACTTAGGTATCATGGAACAAGTTCAGATAATGAAGTGCCAACTGGGTTTTGGCACCATTCCTTACATATTTGTCATCAAGAGTCAAAAGTAATAGGAAAGAAATCAGGCAGATAAAAGCAGTTTGGTTTCACAGGAACGGAACGGACGTTGTACAGTCAGTGCTGTGGAATTCTGAATTCCGCCACTACAACTACCGCTACCATCCTCTCTAATCAGTTTCAGCAGATGTGTAGGGTTGAATTAACATCCGGAAATTCTCTACTACAACGAAACTAAACATTTCTGCCTAAGTCTCCGATATTTAGTCATAGGTCATATTTATTTATTTTACGTTCTGAAACTATTATACATGGCCTGTCATTTAATTACTTTCAATCAGTATTCCCTTGTTGAGTTTTGTCAGGAAGGCTGCCCGGTCTTTTGACCAACTAACATGGTATTAGGAGGCATTTAGAAGAGAGTATTATGCTTCTTTTTATAACAGTGTTTCCAAAGTCAAAGTTTTAACCAGATTCTCTTTGTCTGCCTCTCTGATTTCACTGACTTGAGTAAAAGTTGATTCTGTTTTAAGGTAATCTCTCTGTTATGTTTAACAACCGAGTATACCATTTTTTTTTTTTTTATGTGGACTTGGAGGGAATTCACCATATCTGTTATAGAAGAGATACTACTTTGCCTAGAAAACATGTGAAGTGTGTATACTACACTTGAGATCTCCATAGGCTAGAATGAAGAGCCCTCGAATGGATGGAAGATAATCTTTCCAGGTATAGTTTATTCCTTCTGTTTCTGCCTAATTCACCCTTTCAATGCCAAGTTGATAGAAGATTCCATAGGAATATATATAATATATGCATATATTATTATGTATTAATATATATGCATATATTATTACATTATATAATATATAATATATAACATGATTATATATTATATATATTTATATATATTAATAATTTTTCCAGTGATTAAGCAAATATATATATATGTGTGTGTGTGTGTGTATATATATATATACATGTATATATTTATCAGCAGGTAAATTGTGGGCAGGGAACAAACAAAAGCCAAAGATTATTTTTGTCTGTTGGTAATTTTTAGGTACTCTTGAAGATGTTATATTAGTTTCTATACCATGGTAACCAATGCAGTTGTTCTGGAAGTCAGTTTGCTGGTGACAGAATTGCAGAAGTCATGAACAAATAGCACTTTGCCTTTGCATAAAGCCGTATGATTGGTTTTAAAATAGGGGAGCTTCTGGGGCGCCTGGGTGGCTCAGTCGTTAAGCGTCTGCCTTCGGCTCAGGTCATGATCCCAGAGTCCTGGGATAGAGCCCCGCATCGGGCTCCCTGCTGAGCAGGGAGCCTGCTTCTCCTTCTCCCTCTGTCTACCACTCTGCCTACTTGTGCTCTCTCTCTGTCAAATAAATAAATAAAATCTTTAAAAAAAAAAAAGTAAAATTGGGGAGCTTCTACCATCTTCAATGAAAGAGCTGAAGGAAAAAGGAAAGTATTATATTAATGACACACTATAGTCACATTGTTCCTCTCTAGCCACTGAAGAGCACATTATAATAATGGGGTATTCTTGCTTGTCACACCATGAAACAAAGATATAATAATGATCAGGGTTCTGAATGAAAAATTTCATTTGTGAAAGTAAATTACTCTGCAAGCACTAACCCTTGAAGAAGCACAGAAGGGGTTAAAACAAGAATAGAGAAAATTTCAAAATGTTTCTGTGGTCACATAGACGGCTGCTTCAGAGTTTAATCATCCTCCATTTGTCCTTTAACAGACTGGCCCCTCCTTTAGGTGTCAGTTGGAGCAGCGAAGTAACAATTCCATTGCAGCATGGATTCAGGTGACAGAGTGTCCCAAATCCTTCAGTGGTGATGTTGCTCTTAGAGGTCAGATCCAACCACAAAAATATACCCCAGTAAGGTATCAGTAGGAAATTAAATCTAAGAACTATCCTCTCCTATTCCAAAGTTATTCTCTTAGAGTTAGCTGGGTCTTTTTGACTTGAAAGGATCAGTATGTTTTAGAAAATACCTAACTCCCTATTGAATGATTAATTTGCTGAATGATAAAATTGGTTCAGAAAAGTCTGGGGTTACCATCTATACAGTTTTCACCCAAATGATGAGGAATAAACCAGAATAATCTTTGCCTTAGGTGCCCAAACATGAAAAATAAAGAAAAAAACCCAAAGACCACTGCACAATTCTTGACCAAGCATTGCAAAGTATGATATGAAATGCTTATTAAACACCTTACAGACACATATTAACATTCTTATTAAAATTAACCTGATCTTGGTTCAAAACTTGTGCCACCAAGAAATATGACATCTGTGGAATGTGTAAGCTCAGTAATTAGGTCACAAAAATACTAAACAGAGACCTAAACTCCCTTGGAAATGTTTACTTTTATTTAAAAACAGAATTCTCAAGTGCCTCTCTGCTTTGTGATTTCATCCAGGACAAGAATGAAAATACTGAAATGTGGCAGGATTTCTAAGAGAATGAAAGCCAAGAAACACTGAAAACACAGTTTTGAGATTTCCGGTTTAATTTCCAGGACAAAGAGATTCATTGTCAGTTTATATCATCTTTGCTACATGGATACCTGGATCAACAAAAGCTGTTGACCTCTGTGGGGTCACCCAGTGCCCCATTTTGGCTCTGATTTTGCACTACTCTTCACAGTAGTGAAGTGCTGGGATGAGGCCAGGCTTTCTTTACCACATTGGCTTCTAATCATTCCCAAAGGAAGAACTGGAAAATATTTGGGATTTTTCTTCTATACTTTCACATTAGTTTATTCTCAGAGCAATTATCATTTGTGTTTTGAGCCACATATTGGGTAAAGATGGAAGAAGCATTTAACTACATTTTTTCCCTAAAGAGCAATATCATATTTTTGTTAGTATAGTGCTTTGTTTTCTTTTGCTTTGACACATGGCTTCTGTAAAAATTTCAGTGTTTTCCTTTGGACTTAAGTACCCAATTTAAGGGAATAAAAACAAAAACCAGTGCATGACTTTTTCATGTTATGAATTTAGTTGCTTTTCATGATCAATCATTTTATGGTATCATTCAACTCATTATCATCCTACACCCATTATATGTGACAAAAAGTATCAATTTTGTGGATTTTGTGACAAAATTCATTAGTACTCTGGGTTTCACTTAGCATTATTTTTCACAAATGCCATTTCCTTTCCTTTTAATCTTACTTCATTTTTATGCTCAAATATGGGAATAAGACAAAAAAAAGGCAAGATTTTGTTAGCAGCCAATTCTTTCATATCACCTTGGCATATACAATTTCATGAAATAAGTCAAAGAAGAAGACAAAGAAATGTAAAGGGAAGCAGAGGTTATTAAATTTGATTAAGGGATAAAATTTGGTTCTCTGCTGTCCTGATTTGTTTTGGGTCAGAATGCATTGAACAAATGTTATTATTTGTTTATTGCTGAAATCTGGTTGTGGCTATGTTCTGGCATCTCAGTATATCTTATGATACTTTACTGTATGTTTCATATCCATTTCTTTTTTTTACATTCCCATAGCCACCACTCTATGTCAACTTTTAACACCTTACACTTTAGAAATCAGCCATAGCTTCCGAGCTGGAAATGACAATCTCAGATAACTGTCCACAAGAACAGTAGGGTTAAGTTGGGAACAAGTTGACCTGAGAGAGGCTGGGCTCAGCAAATAAAAGTTCTAGAGTCAGCTTATTGTTCATTAGACTTCCATCTTGAACCACCACTGCTGAGCCACTCTATACGCATTGACTTTTTACTACCTGAACCACTGCTTCCCACTAGATTCCTCCAGTGACTCAGCCACTAAACTGAAAGCTCCTGGTTTTACTCCAGTTTGGCATGTAGGAATGACTGTTTTTTCACATTCCACCCTGACCTCTATCACTGGTTTTTGCCCTCCATTTATCCTATTTGTCTTCTATATACAATGTTTATTCTCTTTTTGGAGACACTCATCAATTTTTTTTAAGATTTTTTATTTATTTATTTGACAGAGAGAGAGACAGTGAGAGAGGGAATACAAGCAGGGGGAGTGGGAGAGGGAGAAACAGACTCCCTGCAGAGCAGAGAGCCCGATGTGGGGCTCAATCCCAGGACCCTGGGATCATGACCTGAGCCGAAGGCAGACACTTAACAACTGAGCCACCCAGGCACCATAATTATGTTTTTATAAATGCAAATTGTTCTCTCTATTGGAAGGGAAGTTGAATGGTATTAAAGAATTTTTTTTTAATCTGGAGAATTATCAGAATAGATGTGAGGGTTTCTAGAAAAATTAGGAGAATCTGCCAGGTTACATGATATCTTTTAGTGCAGTGGATTTTATGTTATGGTATAATTCATTTTAAAGAAATAAAGTCAGTTCACAACACACCAATATTGCCATCCATTCCATGACCTTGCCTCCTTTATTTTTGTGTCTTCCGACTGATAATTGAAGGAAGCATGTTATATGGTTTATGGCATCTTGATCTTTGGGTCTTAGTCTTGCTCCTGCCTGTTCTGTCCTGGGTGCTCTACTCTGTTCCTGGTTTTATACATCCTTTGCTTTTTTCTTCTGGTATTTTTTTTATTATGTTATGTTAATCACCATACATTACATCATTAGTTTTTGATGTAGTGTTCCATGATTCATTGTTTGTGTATAACACCCAGTGCTCCATGCAGAATGTGCTCTCCTTAATACCCATCACCAGGCTAACCCATCCCCATATGCTTTGTGTCTTATTCTCAAACCTATGTATCAGTCAGAAATCCTGCAAGAAATAGATGGTACAAAGGACTAATTGAAGAAACTTTAGTGACGTAACTATTTACAGAAGTGTGGACCAGATTAAAACTACCAATGAAGAATGGCAAAACATGCAAGGACCAGCTATGGTGGAAAGCTTTTACCTCCTCCATACTAGACGAGATAAGGTGTTAAAAGTTGACATAGAGTGGTGGCTATGGGAATGTAAAAAAAAGAAATGGATATGAAACATACAGTAAAGTATCATAAGATATACTGAGATGCCAGAACATAGCCACAACCAGATTTCAGCAATAAACAAATAATAACATTTGTTCAATGCATTCTGACCCAAAACAAATCAGGACAGCAGAGAACCAAATTTTATCCCTTAATCAAATTTAATAACCTCTGCTTCCCTTTACTGCTACCTTCTTCTTTTTTTTTTTTCTTAACATATATTGCATTATTTGTTTCAGAGGTACAGGTCTGTGATTCAACAGTCTTACACAATTCACAGCGCTTCCCATAGCACATACCCTCCCCAATGTTTATCATCCAGCCACCCCATCCCTCCCACCCCCCACACTTCAGCAACCTTCAGTTTGTTTCCTGAGATTAAGAATTCCTCATATCAGTGAGGTCATATGACACATGTCTTTCTCTGATTGACTTATTTCGCTCAGCATAATACCCTCCAGTTCCATCTTCTGGTATCTTTTGATACCAAATAAACCACAGACATGTCAGCCCTTTAGGCAAAAATTGCCAGTCACCTTCCTTTCACTTTGCCCTTATTTAGCCTGGCCCTTAGTCCTCAACTTATCTCCCAATTTTGACCCATCTGCTATTTTTAGTCAATGCTAATCTGCTTTCCCCCGCTCTGACATTCTTTATGGTTGAAATTAATTCCTCTGGCTCTTTTAAATCTCAGTCACATGGAATGGGATTTCCTTTTGCCCTGTCCCCAGTTTCTGAGACCTTAAAATTTGATAAGGTTTACTTTTCTGGTCCAGAGAATCTTGATCCTCCAGTAAGGGCCTTCTGACATGAAATGCTGATTAATCTTCATTTCCCTCTCCAAATTCATTCTTTACCCTTCTCTGCCCAGCTTTGTCTCTTGAAAGCCTGACCTCTTTAGGGATTGTGCCACCTAAGCTCTCTTGCCTTCTGGTTTCCATGTGGGTTCAGCAATGATGGAAATTAGCAGACCGGAAATAAAAGGAAGTGGGGTTTTATTCTCTCTGCTTTTCCTCACCTTGTTTGGGCAATGGCCATCTTCCTTTACCTATAGTTCCAGGTATTTTAGTTAAGTGGCCCTGCTCTTATGGCTCTGGCCCTCACTGGGTAACATGCTTCTCTTTTTATCTCGTCTAGTATGGAGGAGGTAAAAGCTTTCCACCATAGCTGGTCCTTGCATGTTTTGCCATTCTTCATTGGTAGTTTTAATCTGGTCCAC